ACTTTTTGGAGCACGCTTACCAATATGCCAAATTACCAAGGTAAGTAACATTATAATTTGCTTTCAATTATTTCTTTTTTAAAGAATAATGACTTGTCAATTATAATCACAATCCCAAAAATATAGCGATATCGAACTTTAATATAAAATTTGTCACGTAAATTAAGATTAATAAACATCGAATATACGTATAAAAATATAAATTTATAGTATAAAGTAGTTTAATATAATAATAAAAATAGAATGGAGAGAGAGAATTTAACATTTTCTTTTTTTTTAAAAAAAAAATCCCAAAGCCACGACATTAATCGGCAAAAACAGATCGACGAGAAAAGAGTGACCATATCTGTATTTGTGTAATAGTAATGGGGTTTAAGAATTGGCACATGTCAATAAAAACCCAATACTGATCTTACAGATTAGATTTGAGATTAGGATCCTTAACTTTAAATTTATGTATCGTCAATTACTTTTGAGTAAATTACAAACAATAGACCTTATTGCTATAATGATTAAGTGATTTGTAATTTGAATTATAATAATTTATTATTATTATTTCCTGTTTTCTAATTATACTTAAAGTTAAAAATTTACTGTTATTAAGATGTTTGCTTGTGCTTAAACTCTTCTAAGGTTAAAATCCCTTTTCTTTTATACTTTCGAAGGGTTTTTGTTTGTCTAAGTTACGAGTTTACAGAATTTTAACCGTTATATGAGTATACAGTAAGTTTAATTATATATACTGTATGTATAGTTAAAAAAAGGTTTAAAATTAATCATTACATAGTATAATCTTAAACTAAAAATTGATAGCTCAATAGCTAATCAAGTTTTTCGCTCATTAATACATACAGTGATATGGATATAAAACATTATATAATTCATTTTTTTTGGAAATGATAAAGTAATCAATTATAGTTTATTGACTTTACAACTGTTATTCTGTTATCTAATTGAACAAACTTCCAAACACGTCTTCAACCAGCCTCATTCTTTGTAAAGTAAACAATATAATCATTCGATTGGTAATTTGTTAGTTAAACACACACTACTTTTTTTATCACGTTGTTTGTTTTTTGTTATTGTTTATAGTTTGATTCATAAATTTTCACAGAGACTTATCACTTTAATTTTCAAAAATATTTTATAATCATCGCCAAATGAGAAAGACTCACTCCCAGTGTTATAAATACATAATAATACTGTATAAAATAAATTTTATATAAAATACCTTTTGACATTTTTCTCTTGGTAACTTTGATAATAATAATATCATTTGGCCAATTTCTAATCTAGCAATATCTTGAATAATTATATTTATAAATAAAATTATTATTTTATAATTATTATTAAAGTTATCATAAAGTAAAAAATGAATAATGCTCAAATCGAATCTTCTCAAGGTATTATTATTACCATGTGCTACGTCTGTTTATCTATTCTTTCCATAATAATTCATAATATTTTATAATATAGTAATTTATATTATATATATAATATTTTGATAACATTTTGATAACATCGTTATATAATATTTTGATAATATTTTTATATAAAATTTTTGATAATATGTGATATTAGAACTTCCCATCATAACACCGGAGCAAATATTATTTGACGAAAATTTTTCGTATGTCGATAATGATATGTTAACTGTCAGAACTGAAATAATATCGTACGATGACAATTTTACCTACATGGATAAAAATTCAATCAAAAACGTAAGAAATAATAATCATAATAATAATAATAATAATATTAACCACAATCATAATGATGGTGATGATCATGATGCCATCGCCAAAAATGACGAAAGTAATGAAAACGATGAAGGCCCGGAAGAGAAAAATTTTTTTCCCAAAGGGGATTTATCAGTGACAAGAAAGAGATCACGATATGAGTGCATTGACGAGGAAACCCGGTTAAAAAGGAAGAGGAGATTTAATAGAATAGCTGGTAAATTTATTTATTTATTTTATTTATTAATTTTAGTCATTAAAATTTTTTTTAATTTTTTAATTTAATTTAATTACATTAATTTAAAAAGCCCAAAGAAGTAGAGCTAAAAAGAAAGAAAATGAAGAAAAATTAATATATTTAGTGATGAATCTACAAGCTGAAAATACTTATTTGAGGTTTTTAGTGTCAAAACTTCAAGAAGATTTATTGTTTCTACTCTTGTAACCTAAAAATATTAAATAATTTTAATTTTAATATCAGGTATTTGTTATAATTAGGTTTTTAAAATTAATTCATTTTATATCGTTGTTCTGATTTGTAAGACGAAATGTCTTTTTATTATAATTATCTTCCGTAAAAGTATTTATTTTCTTAGAAAAAAAAATAGTTCCTCTCTCTTTGAGTGATTAGTAGTATAGTAATTAGTTGTGAATCTTTTTATTTGTGAATTCATGGAGGAAGATTCAATAAAATTTCGATGCAACACGCACATTTCAAGTGAAAATGATGGTTGGAATACCTATTTTACATATTAACATTTTTATATACTAGGAAATGGGAACCATTGTGAGTCCGGAGAAAATGTCTCGCTTTTAATATTTTTCTAATATTTTTATCTTACGTTGCTTAATTCTTATGACAGTTGATTGAGAAATATTTTCTTTTTTTTGCTACATAACGGGAGGGATATCCTTCTTCAAGTAGCATGAAAACTCTGGTTCTTTTTTCAGTAGATAAATAAACTATGAATAGTTTATAAAATTACAGATGGCAGAGATACCATAAAGTACTATTTTTATATGTGCTACATGATGTGTTTTGATAGAAAAAATTGCGTATAACTTGTTTATATTTATTTTTATAAATTATTACAATTTTAAAATTTTTATTCATGTGATACAATACTTTTGACTGCCACTGTATAATGTTTATAATGTTAAATAATGGTGATGAATTAATTCATTTACTATCTATACAATTGTATTATTATTTGATTTTGAAAATACATATATTAAAAAATAAACTATAATTTTAAATAGATGAAACAATTTTCAATGACTTAATTTAGTCATAAATCATAATACATATAGCTATTTAGTCATAAATCATAATACATATAGCTCTCATATACAGTGGTGATCATTTGTAATGCAACAAAAAAAAATTACATTAAATCGAACTGACTTTTCAAACAATTCCGGAGATATTCAATTTTTTTTTTATTTGTTTTATTTGTAAATAGTGTCAATTTCAAATAATAAAAAAAAAAATTAAAATAAATGTTGCATTTCTTATTTTCTTTTTCAATACATAATTTTTTTTGGTTATACTAGATTGGATATGAAATACTGTACACTACCATCTTGTGTATCCTCCCCAAGCCTTAATAACATCATGAATTCTTTCTGGCATAAAGCAAGTATCAATGTCAATCTCTTGTCAAACCTGTTGAATTTTGATCCCAAAAGAGATGACGAAGTGACGATCGATTTCATTCAATAAGGTTAAGATGAGATTGAGTCAATCCAAAACCTTTATTTTATTACTTTAAAGCTAGCATTTTGTTGAATTTGCTGCATGTTTAGAGTTTCCATCCTGTTGAAAAATTATATCTTTGATAGTAAATCCTTGAACTTTGATGGAATTTAAGAGATCCGTGCAAAGTATTTGTTGGTATAAGGCATTCATCACTCTCACCAATACCACGTGACGTAAATAATTCCCATATCACTCCAAATTTCACAGTAGGCTTAATGTGAAAACAATTTAATGGTTCTTCAGGATGTTTCCAATAATATTTTTTCCCATCAAATTCAAAAACTTTGAATTTTGATTCATCAGACCATATTACCTTTGATCAATCATTTATTATCCAATTTTCATATTTATGTGCAAAATTGAAGTGACGTTTTTGGTGTTTTTTACTCAAATAAGGTTTTTTCCTTTTAACTCTTGACACTAACCCATCATTTTGAAGTATACATCAAATAGTGGGTGCTGAAATAATGATATTTTCTTGTTATTGTAGATGGTTTTGGACTTCAACAGCAGATAAACACATGTGAGAGATGATAAGATTTATGATTTTTTTGTGTTGGTCTATTTGTGATAAATTGACAACCTGACTTTGGCAAGTTTTCAACAGAGTGGTTTTCAAGCCATCTTTTTTTAATATGAGAGACTGTAAATGGATTTATATGCCTTGCTTTTGATATTTTTCCTTGTTTTGTATCCTTTTTGTAATGAAAGAAGAATTTGGATCCTTTCTTTGGGGTTGTATAACACTTTTGTGCTGTAAATTGTTTACTAAGGAGTTATAACAGCAAGCAAAACAATAAAATTTACTTTTATGTGATATTCATGTAACACAATAATGACACTATTTACAAATAATAAAACAAAAAAAAAAAAAGAATATATCAATTTAACGTAATTTTTTTTGTTGTTACTGTAAATGTAACAAACAATATATTGAAATTTCGTACTTAAACATTTTATTATTATTTATTACAACATTATTAAATCACGCTAGTTATTTTCAACCAATAAAAATAAAAGTACATTATTTAATATAGGCACATGGTTACCAGTTTTTTACGTGCTATTTATGTGACAAGTATTGGGTCGTGACAAATATGCTCCGTCCCCAGAATATTAATAAAAATTGATATTCGAAGAGTGTGACATACACTATCCCCTAACCGAGGTATGGTGCTCGATTTATTATTATAAAAAAGGTATAATATTGAATTACTTTCTAATCCACTACTTATTACTTTTTCCGATTGGCTTCCACCCTTTTAGTTACTAGAGAAGATGCACCCATTACCAATTTTGATCATCATTATCATTCTTTTGAACCCGCCTTTACAGAATTATCATCCGTTTTTCTTGCACTCCTTATATTCTACTACTTCTCACAATTTCCGATTTTCTTCTCCATAAATTCATGTTTGCAATGATGTTTTGCATACGCAGCATCAGAAATATCATTATAACATATATATTAGATTAATTTATGAAATGATTAATATTAAGTATCATCGACAAATTTTCATAATAAATTTATTAATACAAACGTCTATTTCACCATCTTCGCTGCTTCTGCCATTACCAACATCCTCTTCTACATTCCTCATTTCACACCTTGCATTATAGTACCGGGATTACCTCTTTCACCACCACCGACATCTTTCTTTCTCTTTCCCTTTCGCTTTTTACATGATTTTAGCGATACTTTTATCGGCAGCCAGCATATTATACGTACGTATCACTAAGATTCATAACGATAATGATAGTGATAAATATACGTATATAGATAGCATACACTCATATGGATAAAATATACTTTATATAGTGACAAAGACAAATATTATAGTATATTTGAGTACGCGAGATTAATGAATATAACATGTTTAAAAATCTACCTTTCTCAACTTCTATCTATTCGGCTAACAAATTTAAGGAATTTAACAGTCTTTTGTAGTGGTAGTATTCTTCTTAATAGTTGCAGTTGCTACAACTTCTTTGTTAACAGCTGCCACTTATTATTATTATTGTTGTTGTTATCATAGTAAAGTTCCGCCTACAATACACCGGGTATTTTATGTGGAACTTTACGGTAGTATTCTTCTTATTAATCTTCAAAATTTTATTGTTATCTTAATAATTTATTATTATTCTTCTATTACTCTTATTCTTTGCTGAATCTCCTTGCATTTTATTGATAGGATTAATTGATTAGTAGATTAAGACACTTATTTTTTAATTATCGAAAACAAATTTTTCAATAATTATTCTAAATGCTGCTAATCAGAATGATAGAATTGTATAAAATTCTTTCTCTTTTATTCCAATATCACGTAATATATATGAATGCCAGTGCAATAATAATCATTGATTATTGCCATTGTATGACATGGTGACACTCTTTAGTATAAGAAAGCGAAACAATATAATTAAATAGTATATTGTAAAATAATGACATCTCTTTTCTTTTACCTACATTTTTTAGATATAATTTATATCACAAGAAGAAAAGCGTGAGATCCTCAATATGTTATTATTATTATTATTATTATTACAGCTGATTTATAAATCGGTATAAATTATTTTCATTCTCTCTTTATTTCACTCCTTTTAATTACTGCTACCAATATTATATCCTTAAACTATTATTTTTTTCAATTATTATTACTATATTATTTTGAAAATTTTTAAAGTGTACCATTGGTGTTGTGATAGATATTAGTTGAGGTTAGGATTAGGATTAGGGTTTAGGGTTTAGGGTTTAGGGTTATGGATAAAATAGAATTTGGATGCAGAATTTTGAAGGATTATTTTTTTTATGCCTAGAAAAGTGGTTTCTTAGTCAAAGTTGAAAGTTATAAGCATTTTTTAAAAACGAAGGTTCATCTTGTTTTGAATTTTTTTTTTTTTAAAGATTAAAATCTTGTAATACTAATTTAAATCACATGATTTATGTTCGATCAACGTACCAATTACGAAATGAAAAACAAACTGAAAATATAATTGTAACGTGGAATTGCAAATCGATGTCCCAAGGAACCTTGGAGTCTAAAACATAGTGGTAAGGTGGTGCATTAAAACCGCAAGTATGATCTTTTAATTTGTACTCCACATTGTTTATCCAACTATAGAAATGATTACCATTATACGTTAGATCTGGTATTAAGAATAATTTTAATCAAACATCTTTCATTTTTATTAACATATCTTCTTCGTTAATCAGTACTGAAAGCCAGAGATGGTGAAAATTGACAATGGATACAAGGGAATATGAATGCATGAATGATGAAGCATGTTAAGTAGTTTTTTATTCTAAAAATGATTATAATCGGGGGGCGATGTGATGATGAAGAAAATTGCTTTAAATGATTTAGGTTTTAGTTCTATTATTATTAAAGTCATTTTTTGGTTACAAATAAATATCACAATAAATTGATGTTTTCATTATATCACTTGAGATGCTGCTAAGTGGCAGCATCAACTCATTTTCCTGTCCAGGATTGAAATGGATATTTTAAATTTTGTAAGAAATGCTACTAAAAGCTTCTATAGTTTGATAATTCTTTAAAAAAAATTAAATAACGTATTTCCATTCATTTATGCATAATAATTCATTTATTTATTTGAAAATAAAACCTGATGTTGAATACAAAGAAATTGTTCCATGCAATCAAATTTTATAAAAAAAAAAAAAAAAAAAATAGTAATTTTCCATTTTTTATTTTATTTTTTATATTAAATATCACAAAAGTGTACAATTTACACAATTTCTGAGTTCTTTTGATAATCCAACTCATAAACCGAGAATATTATTCAATAACTTAATATCTTTGATTTATGCTTTCTAAGACTTTCAGAAACTGACATGAAATGTTCAGTTAATTTGATTTCATAAGTTTAGTCTGCGGACATTCCTTTTCTATATTGGACATCCATGACGACCGTATATAAATATAAGTATGATATGAGAAAAAAATAATAGATTTAATACAAATTTGCAGCTGGTAGGCGACCATCCGATAAGAATATAACTACAGTACATACGAAATTTTTGTTACAAATGTGCATTGCGATTGTATACGCACATAAATCAATGTATCGGCTTACTTTAAAGGGTTATATAATTCTGAATTATTCTTGAAGCAGTATTAATTCCTGTAGCATAGCTAGTACCACCGCTAGAATTATAATTCATCATTATTTGTAATAGTTCATCCGAATTCGTTAGACTTCTGTTTTCAAAAACGCGTATTGCCGAGCTTCAATAACTATTTGTCCGATTTTGTGCTGCTCTCTTTGAATTTTTTTTTTTTATGATGAAATTAAAAAGGAAATTTTTTAGGCCATTTTAGCTTTAAACCGGAATATCTCGGAGATATTGGTTCTACAGGAATAAAACACATATTATCTTGTAGTCCAGAACTGAGGCTTTCGATCAGTCATAAGAATACCTTAATAGAAAATCGCTCCCTGTCTCACAATTCGCGATCAAATTCAAAAAAAACGGAATTTTATTGGCGGAAAAATCTCACTGCAAAAAAAAAATTCCGCAATTTTCACAATATTTTTTTGAGTTCGATCGCGATTTTCTATTAAGATATTCTTATGGCCGGTCGAAACCTCTTGTTCTGAACTATAATATAACATGTGTTTCATCCCGTAGCACCGATATCTGCCGAGATATTTCGGTTTAAAGTCAAAACGGCCCTATATAAATACGTAGGTGTCGTAAATTTCCTGATTCCTTACGTAAACCATTCTTGTACTAATGCAATGAGGTCTATAATCAGCAATATCTATTGATCCACTCTGTCAGCAACAAACGACGATGTGAAAATCTCCAAAACTCACAGGATTCTCACATAAAACTGGTAGCAGAAAATACCAAATTTTTTTATTTATATTGAAAATGAAAGGACTAAATTCCATATTGCTTACTTGATAACCACCAGCTAAATATAACCTATACCATTTGGAGGTCTAGAGGCAGGATTTAATCTGGAATGAAAAATTTCTAAAGTGTAATAAGATTTTGTTGGTCAACCTTATGATGTCTTTCGTCTGCACATTCATGATCACCTTTAGAATATGGATATATATAACAACGTGATCCTAAGTTAATATATACGATAAAAAAATATTATTATTATTAAATTTGTTCCCAAAAGAAATATAGTCTTTCTTTTCCCGGGTTAGTTTCTTTTTATTTTTATTTTTTTGAACCGATAGATAAAAATTTTTGTTAAATATAAAATTAATGTTACGCATTCCTCATAAACCATATAAAATTTGTCAGGAAAATTAATACCATTCATATACTCTAATACGCCTTCTTTCCTTTTTATCACCACCTGCTCTTTCACAGAAAATTGAGAAAATTGAGAAAATTGGATTTATACAATAATCTATATGCGATGACATCCAACGTGCTCACATAGCTAGAAATTTTTTTAAGATTAATATTTTTTAAATACAATTTGCAATTTTAATTTACTTTGTTGCATAAAACAAAATCCCCTCTATCTCCAACATTAAGTAGTGACCTATTAAAGATATTAGAGATAATTAGTATTATAAATTATTCCTTAATATTTCAGGTGGTGATTATAATTATTGATGTATAATAACATTCAATTAATGCGCCACGAATTGTGCAATCAAGAACAATAATTATATACCATCAAAAATTTAAATTCGGCATGTTCTAATCGTTTACAAGATCACCCGGGTATTTTAATTCAAGATTATTGCTTATTTCATCAAATTCTGATCCATTGATTTGATTTAGAGTCCTTTCAATAGTGTCTTATTCAAACCCTAGAATAATCTGCTTCAAACTTTCATGAAACATACATTCTTTCCAATCCTCATATTTTTCAAAAATCACGTCTCTATTTTTTCATCGCCATAATCAGAAATTTGAAGCACGAATTCGCAATCAAGAATCCTTTTAATTGCCTCTCTGATTTTATTAGCTACTGTATGTCTTACACTACCGCTACTTAAAAAAAAAAATTAGAATACCAAGTTGTTTCCTATACATATTTTCTCACCAATATAATAAAATCCTTTTCATCAAAGAATATCTTTTGGATTGAGATCTTTTCTTTCGCGACATCACCTATGAAATTTATAAAATTTCTACACGGACGTTTTGACTTTAAACCGGAATATCTCGACGTATATCAATTCTATAGAGACAAAACACATATATCTTGTAGCTCAGAATCAGGGCTTTCGATCGGTCATAGAAACACCTTAATAGAAAACCGCTCGTTCCATCAAAAATCGCGATCGAAGTCAAAAAAGTAATTAAAAAATTGCATAAAATTAGAAATCACGAAATCTATAATGTTCACACAAAAAATTCCGTTTTTTGATCGTGATTTGTGACACAGAGAGTGATTTTCTACTAAGGTGTTCATATGACCGATCGAAAGACCTAGTTATGAGCTACAAGATGATATGTGTTTTATCTCTGTAGAATCGATATACGCCGAGATATTCCGGCTTAAAGTCAAAATGTCAGTGTAGAAATTCCGTAAATCTATGGTATTATATTTATGCCTAATAAAATTTCCTAATGTAGAGAGAATGTTAGTATGAAAGAAATAATGCTAGTAGAAAAGAAAATGATAGCGGTAAATAAAATGTTAGCAGGAAAGAAATAAATGCTTAAAAGATAGATGAAATTAGCAGAGAAAAAATGGTATTAAAGAACTGCGAGTAGTAAAGAACTACGAGTAGTAAAGAAATGCGAGTAGTAAAGAATTATAACAAAGATAAAATTTGCTTCCCTAAATCCATTAATTTTAGCTCTTCAATTTTTTTCAAATGCACCATTAACTATAAAATTTAAAAAATATTTATCAGTTTATATCATTTTTCATTCTATGAAATCAATATCTTACTGTCCTTTATATAATTTTATATTCTATCAATTTTCATTTTCTAATTTGTAAATGTCACATTAGTTAATATTAACAAACAAAAAGCAGTAAAAAATAATAATCATATCACCACTTTGCTAAATAAATCATTTTATTTCGAAATCGTAATTCTTTTAATGTATTTAATGTTGGAATAGGGTGAGAATATTGAAATAATCGAAGTTTTCTCTTTCAATACGATCGACATTCAACTTATGGTTACACATATATAATTTTAAACAATGTGCCAAATTACCAATGATGGTAAGTAACATTATAATTTGCTTTCAATTATTTCTTTTTTAAAGAATAATGACTTGCATTATCATACCCCAAAATATAGCGATATATCAAAACTTTAATATAAAATTTATAAACATTGAATAATATATAAATAACATATAAAAAATAAATTTATAGCATAAAGAAACAATAATATTTTAATATAATAATAATAATAATAGAATGAAGAGAAAGAGAGAATTTAATGTTTTAATTAATTAATTTGACATTTTTTTTTTTAATTCAATTGTACACACAGCCATGAATACATTCAATACATTTATACTTTCAATACACGTAATATCATTTCGAGTTTGTATGGCAAAAAACCGATCGACGAGAAAAACGATGAAACCAGTAATAACTCAATAATAACAATAATAACTCCACAATTGTGTAATGGTAATATGATGAGAAATTGGCGCATGTCAATTATATTTATAAAAAAGATCCAAAGTTATACTGATTTATAGATTAGATTTGAGCCTAACTTTTAATTTATGTATCGATACATAATATTAGATAGTCAATTACTTTAAAGTAAAATTCCTTTAATCCATTATGCATGATTTTTTTCCTTAAAACAAACTTACATATGTAAAAATATGATGCTTTTCATTAAACGTTATATGTAAATTATAAATCAAAAAAATTTTTTTTTTGAATAGAATAATTCATTGCGGAAGTTCATTATTGCGATTGTTCTCTTTTCTTTAAGTGATTTGTAATCTGAATTATAATAATTCTACCATTTATTATTATTATTATTATTGTTATCTCCCTGTTTTCTAATTAAACTTAAAGTTAAAAATTTACTGCTATCAAGATGTTTTCATGTGCATAATATTCTTCTAGGTTATAAATCCTTTTTTTATACCTTCGACTTTTCCTTCTGAAGGTTTTTGTTTGTCTAAATTATGTTAAAAAGCTAAACTTGTATATTATTTGATTAAGGTTGAACAAAATAATAACGAGTTTACGGGATTTTAACCGTTATATGGATATAAGTTTAAGTATTCTAAAATTAAACTGATTGTTACATAATATGAACTTGAACTAAAATTGATAGCTCAATAATAATCAAGTTTTTCGCTCATTATATATATTGATAAGGATATAAAGATTATATAATAAATTGAAAAATGATAAAGTTTTCAATTATTGGTTATAGTTTATTGACTTAATAGATGTTAGTCTGTTATTTAATCGTAAAAGTCATGAACCAAACTTCCAAACATGTCTTCAACCAGCTTCATTCTGGTAAAGTAAACAAACACGCACACGTTACTTTTTTTTTTTTGTTTTTTTGTTATTGTTTAATGGTGACAAAATTTTCACAGATGTTATCATTTTTCATTTTCACAAAATATTATATAATCATCGTCAAATGAGAAAGATTCACTGATACTGTATAAAAGAATTTCATATAAAATGCCTTTCGGCATTATTCACTTAGTAACTTTGATAATTATAATATCAATTGATCAATTTCTAAGCTATCAAGATATCGATATCTTGAATAATTATATTTATAATTATAAATAAAATTATTATCCTATCATTATTATTAAAGTTATCATCAAGTAAAAAATGAATAATTCTCAAATCGAATCTTCTCAAGGTATTATTATTACCTTACCATGTGGTTACGTCTATTTTTATTCCATTTTATGATATTTTATAAATAATATTTTTATATAATATTTTGATAATATATGATTATTAGAACTTCCCGTTATCACACCGGAGCAAATATTATTTGACGAAAATTTTTCATATATCGATAATGATACGCTAACTATCAGAACTGAAATAATATCGTACGATGACAATTTTACCTACATGGATGAAAATTTAATTAAAAACATAAGAAATAATAATAATAATAACCACAATTACAGCAATAATAATAATGATGATTATAATGATTCCACCGCCAAAAGGGACGAAAGTAATGAGAACAATAAATGCTCGGAAAAGAAAGAAATGTTTTTCAAAGAGGGTTTATTAGTGAGACGAAAAAGATCACAATATGAATGCGTTGGCGAGGAAACTCCTTTAAAAAGGAGGAGAAGACTTAATAGAATAGCTGGTAAATTTTATTTACTTTATTATATTTATTAACTATAATTAATTGATTTTTTTTTTAGTTTTTTTTTTTTTTAATTTAATTTAATTACATTAATCTAAAAAAAGCTGAAAGAAGCAGAGTAAAAAAGAAAGAGAATGAAGAAAAATTAATATATCTAGCGATGAATCTACAAGCTGAAAATATTTCTTTGAGGTTTTTAGTGTCAAAACTTCAAGAAGATTTATTTCTTCTACTCTTGTAACGTAAAAATATTAATTTTAATATCAGATATTTGCTGTAATTAGTTTATCCTTTTATATCGTTGTTCTAATTTTATAAGACGAAAATGTCTTTTTATTATAATAATCATCTACTGTAAAATATTTATTTTCTTCGAAAAAAAGTTTCTCTCTTTTTGAATGATTAGTAGTATAGCAATTCTTTTTATTTGTGAATTCATGGAAGAAGATTCCCAAAAATTTCGATGTAAGACATTGATCCACGTTCCAAGTGAAAATGGTTATATATTTTTTTTAACTTACAATATTAATATTATTATTTTGTGTATATATATAGTTAGCGATACGGTTAATCGTTTTAATTATTCGTTTGATTTAATTAATTTAATTCGAATAATTAAAAATAATTAAAACAATACATTTAGAAACTCTTAATGAACAATAACTGATAATATTTAATGTCGAATCGTATACAAATAGCTTACCTCGTCCTCTTTAGACTACTAAATAATCAATGTACAGTGGACCCCCTCTACAAGCACACCCCTCGGGACCATAGAAACCAAAAATAAAAAATCCTTCTATATGGTTATAATCACACCTTTGTATATTTTTACTAAGTATTGGTCCTCATGAAAGGTGTGTTTATAAGTGGGGATTTATATGATGTGATTGTACAAGGGTGACTATAGAGGGGGTCCACTTTACAATGTTTATAATGTTAAATAATTTGTGTCAGTAATTTCAACCAATAAAAATAAAATACATGATTTATTATAGGCACATGGTGACCAAGTGATTGGAAATTTCACGTGCAAGTTATGTGACAAGTATTAGGTTGTGACAAATATAGTTTCCGCCCAAATGACATCTAATAAAAGATGATATTCGAAGGTGTAACATACGGTGATAAATACACTACCCTGCGGCACGAGATACATCGACTTATATTATTATAAAAAAGGTATAATATTGATTTATCTTTCTAATCTACTGCTTATTACCTATTCTTTCTTATTACTTCCACCTTTTAGTTATGAGGTCGCCCTTTATCAATTTTGTTTATTCTTTTTGAACCCGCTTATTCCACTTCTTCTTACGATTTCTGATTTTATTCTCCACCAATTCATGTCCGCACTGATGTTTGCATACGCGACAACAGAAATATCATTATAACATATATATTAGATTAAATGATTAATATTAAGTATTATCAACAAATCATTAACAAATAATTGCATTATTATAATAAATTTATTAATACAAACCTCTACTAACCTTATTCTTCCACACCTTAAATGACAGTATTGGATTTCCTCTTTCCTCACCACTTTATTAGTCATTCTTACTCGATCTTCGCCACCTACATTAACATTCTCTTTTCACAATGTCACGTGATTTCGCGATACTTTCTAACGGTTCGAAAAGCTATTTTGTACTGTACGAATTGAAATTAATGCTGCATACAGTTTATCGTTAATGGCACTGTACTATCGGTAGTACAATGTACTACATTGTGATAGTTTTTGAAGCCACATATCTACCGATTAAAGAAACCACCTGACTTCATATTGTATAATTATCTTAATTATAGAGGCTAAGTTAATTGTGGCACTAACTCAAATGGTTCATATCCGTAATACAATTCATATAAGGTAAATATTTTTTTTATATATTCTTTTATACCTATTCTATCAATTTTCAAATCCGTATAATTTAGTAAATCATATAATAAATATAAATAAAAATTATATTAATGTATAAATGACATTTTTGTATAAAATATTGTGCAAATTTATTAACTTTTAAAAGCTCTGTGTATTTTATAAAATGTACTACTGGTAGTACAAAAGGTGAAATCCTATCCATTAATCAATGTAATAATAATCTATTAGTGATATCGGAACGTTAAATTCTCTGTGGAAAAATATTTTTTTACTTATTAAATTTAAATTAAATACTTTTAAGGGTGAGGCTAGTATTAAAAATTATTAAAAAATTTGTTTTTAGAGTTATTTACTTTCAAAAAACTGTAAAAATAAAATTTTCTTCAAATAATCCATTAACACATATTCAAATGTATATGTATACAAATTTTGGGACTTCTAACCAATTCTTTTATTAAGTAAAAAATGGTGGGGAGATTTTGCCAAAATTTTGCTAATTGGAGATTTTTAGGAACTATTTGTAAATTATTAAATTTTGCAAGAACTAGATTTAATACTTGGATACAAGTTAAAGTCTCTTAAAAAAATCGAATTACTTTAAACGTACCATTGGTTAGGATTAGGGGGTTAGAAAGGTGGTTTCTTGAAAGTTACAAGTATTTTTTAAAATGAAGGTTTTGAATTTTTGCAATTGATTTGTTAAAGATTAAAATCTTGTAATACTGCAAAATTATAAATAAAATAAAATATTATTTGGCCAGGAAGAAGGAAACTCATTGGTGATATTTCACTTTATACTATTTATTGATCTAATTATTAATTAAATCACATGATGAATGTTTATTCGATCAACGTATTTACGACCAACAATATAATGAAAACAAACTGAAAATATAATTATAATAATTTTTCAATAGTTTCGACTATGAATCGCGTGATATTAAAGAAGAAAATCGTGCCAAGAATCTTGGGAGTCTAAAACATAGTGGCATCAAGCCGTAAGTTTATGAGATGTACCTCATGATTGCGTTTCTAATACTCTAGAAAATAGATAATTATTAAAAAAAAAAAAAACGTCATTGATAAGTTTAATAGTATAAATGCAGAAGTAGAGAAGTAGCTCATGGACAAGAAACTATAATTAAAAAATCCAACCAAATATATCAATTCTCTCAATAATGATAATATTATTAATATTTTCGTTGATGACTTGTGCGATTTCAATAATAACAAACAAGATCAATAATTTCGATTGTCAATAACGAAAATATTATGGATAATTGTTTACTTTAATTGATTTTGAAGAATAGTTTTAATAAATTTCACCACAAAAATATCGACGAGGAAATAATAATAATAATAATCTCAATATTAATTTTTTTTTTTAATGATGTGAAAATGACACTAATAATTATTGGTTAAATATTTGGAAGACCTAGAAGTGTCAAATATTGAAGGTAAATAAAAATTCCTTTTAATACTTTTATAAATAATAAATTAATTTATTTTTTACTTTGAATCGATGGATAAATCATGATGATACCCACCACGGAATATTCAATAATGTACAAGTACGTGAACAATGTAATAATATAAAAGTGGGGGTTTTTTTTCTATTGTTTTGCTAAGTTTTGATAATTTAATTTGGTTCATGTATAGATATGTAATATTTAAAGTTCTTTTTGTTTGATTATATATATTGAGTATATACAAAATAAATAGCATTATGAAGAGTTTAACATATCTTAGCACTTGGTCCTGAATATTTATTGTCAAAATAATTATAAACAATGAAACCTAGGAGATAATAACGAGACTACTGTAAAGAGATATTTATTCCCGAGCTATTGATAAATTTTCTCAAAGAATATTTATTTTCAACTGATTTCATATAGAAAGAAACTTCAATGCATTTTATGCAAAGAAACTCGACACTTAGTTAATTTCCGAACAAACGAACGGAATTTCATTAACAAATATTTTAGGTGTCATCTTCGCAGTATGATTTATGTTTCTTGACAAGTTTTTAAAATTGTTAAAAACAATTCTAAATTCTAAACGTATTCTTCTTTGAAATAAATTTCTTGTCTTTGATAATATCTTACTTCTAAGAACCACTTTGGCTAATTGAACATCCGCGACAGCTTGCTTCTTAAACAATCCAGAAGCTTGTCCCCCTTCCCACAAATAATATATTTTCTAATCTTTTGTAAGTGCATTATCTAAATCTGCATGCGCAAGAAACCATTCCCAAGCTTTTGAATGTTCATTTTTCCTACATGTGCTGTGTGTTGCAATACCTTCTTCGAGAGTAATTATTTGTGAAATTTCATCCTAATGGAAACTGTTACAGATATTCGTATGGTTCTCCTTTTTTAGAATTCGTGCGAGATACATCACAAGAATACAAAACGGGACATCTATTATGCTTTCCTTGATGTTCAGAAATTTATCACATTCCGGAATTCCATCATTATGAGCTTCTTTATTCACATTTGCTATGTCATTTGTGATCGGTCAAACAATCATGTTTTGCATCATTTTTAACATCATCATATCGATCACAATTTTCATATCGAAGACAGCAACATTACAGAAATAAATTGAGGCGACATATTTCTTTAATCTAGTGCACAATTTGTCGTATGTATCTCATTATGATCTTTAGGAAATCTCGAAGTATTTTTGTAAACCATTCATGTACTCATCTTATTTGACGATTTAATTTGAAAAACTTATTTCGAGCAAAATATTTTTTTTCTCCTAAATATGAATGAGAAGAAGTTTTAATTAAATTATATATTTCGAGTTGTGGTTATAAGGTATCAAAAGTGATTCATATATGCATTTTAAGTATAAAATGAATTAAGTAACAATTGATACAGGCATCTATTAACATTGTAACGGCCAAGGTACTTACGTGAATTAATCAATAAGGCCTTTCCGAAATAGTAATTTGGCAATGAGTTCATTCTTGCCATAGAAGGACTTGGCAGCAATTTAACGCTCATATCGAATTTTTGAAATCAACCTGTACTATTTTGCTTCGATGTAGTAACTGTATCGACTATAAGAAAATTGCACACGAACAGATAAAATAATGTGTTCATTATACGGACCATATAATATTATGAATTAAATAATCTATCATTACTCAGGCCATTCGAACTTTCATCTTTGTATACATCTAAGGCTTGGAATTGATTAGTAAGTAGCACGACCAGTGCTTACGATGATTGGGCTTAGGGATGAGGTGGTCCTCTGGTCCGGACCCGAGGACCTGGACCAACTGGTCTGTCCTTGGAAGTTCAGGACCAGGTTTTTTATATCATGTGATAATTTGATTAAATCATCCAAGTCAGCATATTATTGAGAGAGAGAGAGAGAAGAATCGACGAGTTTGAATGGAAATATTAAAGGATATTGCTAAAGTTCAATGGAGGTGATTGTCATCATTACCAGGCAAAATTATACAATTTCCTGATCAACTCTAATTTTTAATTTTGCAATTTTCTATATAAAGACCAGGTCCTGAACTAGTCCTAGGACCAGTTTTACAGGAACAGGTCCAGTCCGTCTTTGCTCTAGGACCAGGTGGTTCAGGACCAGGACTTTTACATCCCTAATTGGGCTAGCACCTTACCGGATTATCAGCTGCGCCTCTAGTTACGCTACTCTTTTATACATTTTCATTGATCACGGATTCAATAGATTAATTCTTTTACTTCAACACTAACGCAACATGAAAATATCTCGTTTTGAATACTTTTAAACATAATTTTTTATATCTTGGGCTCTTTTCTATTATACATTTTTGGAATTAAATAATAGGTAGGTTACACAAATTCAATCGTATGTTGTGCCACTTGTGTCAAATTAAAACTGGCCAAAATTAAGGTTGAATTAAAAGGATCAACATAGGCTGGTTTTATAATTCTGGTCAATGGTGATCTGACGATCTGAGGCACAACATACATACGGTGCAGTAAAAAGTCTTTGGACAACTTCACGTGTTAATAATTCAAAAACTACTGCGTCACATCACATGTACAATGGCTCATTAGAAAGCTGATTGATTAAAGATTTATTTAAAAAAAAATTTAATATGGGATAAGTTCCCCATTTTTTTCAATTACAAGTTTGCATCGTTCTTTCATGGATCCCACCAAGTTTGCTAAAATACCTTCTGGGATTTTTTCCCATTCTTTTACCATAAACCGCTCTAATTCAATTAAATTTTTTTGCCAACGTTTTTCAACAACTATACTCCACAAATTTTCTATTGGGTTGAGATCGGGACTATTAGGCGGCCAATCGATTACTATCGGGACATTCTTTGCTAGAAATTCTTTTGCAACTCGACTTGTATGCTTGAGGTCGTTGTCTTGTTGAAATTGCCAATAGTTCCCAAGCATTTTTCGAATTTCAGGAAAGTGTTTCTCCAAGATTTCCACATAAAATGGACCGTTCATAATTCATTGGAAACTAAAAAGGCTCATTTTTCCTCTTGACCAAAAACCTCCCCAGGAAAAATTTTTTCTTTTATCCTTTGGGACTCGTCGTACCGGACGTTTTTCTTTGTACCAATATTGTACTGTATTACGAAACAATTGAAATGAAGTTTCATCAGTAAAAACAGTTCT